AGAACCAACCAGATTCTTTAAAATATATGGAAGTAGTTTCTCCTCTCTAAAACAGTGTTAACAGCTTCCTTTATAGTAACACCAGGGAATTTAGATAAACAGTTTCTTGTCATCATCCCCATAAAATCAGTACAGCTCTATCAAGCATCATTATTTATGCTAATTGCTTAAGCTAATATCATGTGATTCTAAATGCTCTTTAATTAGAATAATTTCATAAAATTTAGCATATTTGTGCTTATAAGTTGGCAATGAATAATCATATGATTTTTTTTAAAACTTGAGCTAGAAACTGTAATTCTAGTTTGCTTGGCCTAACCAATACTTGTGTATTTCCACATGCTTTCACTCAGTAGTTTTGCTACTCTAAACCAGCAGTCTTTAATCCCATTGACAAAATATGTTAGACCAATAGCTCATGTGACTTTTTGCGTAAGCATGCACAAAAATTTGGTCAAAATTGAATGGTTTTTTTGTTGAATAACTTTGCACATGTGGCTTATATTTAGACCAAATTTGTAGGTTGTAAAGATCTATCAGTGTACCCAATTTGAAAAAAATCCATAAAAGTATGTTTTTTATCAAATACATTTTCCATACTTTTGGTGCAAAGAAACAATAGGAAGAAATTCAATCAAAATTAGAAATTTTATATATCATTTATTTGTTAATGGATTGCCTTGAAATTTGATATGTGAAGTAAGGATCCAGTAGAGCACATCTACTGAAAATATGCAATAGTTTGAATTACCAGAAAAATATCAGCCCATTCGTATCAGATGAGTAACAAGAATACTAATCTGATATGTTCAAATAAATCATTAATATGATTTGTACACAATATTTTCTAAAAAGTATGATTTTTGTATCTGTTACAAAATAATCTATTAAAATTATGCAGCTAATAAAATAATTCTAAAAATGGCACTGATGAAACAAATAAGACAGGAAATTACAAGTAAAATTAACATACCATGAGATAAATCATTTTTAAAGGTGACTTTGCTTTTATCTACAACATCCCAGAATGCAGGCCATCCACATCCAGAATGGTACTTGGTTTCTGATGAAAAGAGCTCTTCCCCACATACTACACAGGCATACTTTCCATTATCTTTCAGCTTATAGTACTTTCCAGTAAAAGCACTGTAGCATAAAAGAAAATATCATTTTCCATAATAACATATGACAACTATATACTATATATACACACGTGTCCTGTACAAATCAGTTACATTTAAACAGACATTAATTTTAGTAAAATTTATATAGAGGGTTACGTAGATTATATTAATGTTTTTGGATATACAAGTCATATGATAACCACAACTGGATGTGGATTCACAAAGATAAGGCTTCCACTCATATCTGCCATTGAACTGTCACATACCACAAGAAGTTGGAGAATGATATGGGTATTCATGCAGCATCTATGGATTTATGTGTGACTGGGGTGTTAAAACAAGTGCTGGGACAACATAATCATCTGCCATTGAACTGTCACATACCACAAGAAGTTGGAGAATGATATGGGTATTCATGCAGCATCTATGGATTTATGTGTGACTGGGGTGTTAAAACAAGTGCTGGGACAACATAATCCTTTTACATTCGTTGGATTATGCAAAATGCAGGTAGGAGTTGTATGCTTTGGACGTGACAACGTTTTGAAATAGAAACTATACTATAAAGCTATTGTCCAGATACATAGTCATCAGACAGAGCATGACCAGATGTGATGACTATGGACTATGACATGCTCAATGCTCTGTATACAAGGATTGCCAAATCACTAACCTTAACATTTTACTTACCTGAAAATGTATTTCCGATAGATACTCACTTCTTACACAGAAAGCTATCTTCCCTGTGCATCTGCCTTAGAGATTTGCATGCCAGTAACCTTTACGCAACTCCCACCTAAACTCAAGATATTTCTCAAAATTTGTGCTGCTGCGTAATGACATTATTATGCAGCAAAAGCCCTCCACCAATAGGAAGGTGACACAACTTCCCTGCATACTAGCTCCCTGTATGCTTTTGCATGTGTGATATTCATTCTTTGACAAGGTAAGGAATATTAAGTCACACTGGAAATGGGGAGAAAGGGTGGAATGTGAAGAGGTGAGAATCTATTGGAAATACATTTTCAGGTAAGGAAAATGTTGACTTCCAAGGCAATACATACCTCTTCACCCAGAAAGCCAGAATCCCATGTTGATATGGTGGAAGGACAAGTGCAAAAGTTACCTAGATGAGTACATACATGGGAGACCACATCTCATCTTTTCCACAGTATACTTTGGAAGGGAGGAATAATCAGAAAAGCTCCATGTGTCATGGGCAGAATAAGAATGTGGCCATCCAGGTACTTACCTCAACCGTCAGATTCTTGGACCAAACCAGCTGCGGGAAGAGTGCACATAATACATGCTATAGATTATATAATGTTAGTATGTTCACTGATTCAACAGATGAGTCATACACTGTAGGAGTAAGGCACGATTTACTGAGAAGTACTCATCTCAATTCAACTGAACTGTAGATGATTGCAGATATTCAGTGGGTTAACTCCAGTTCAAAACTAGGTGATATCAGGTATGTGTTTACCAGTCTGCAGTACAAGGAAGGTCCCAACTGTCTTCACCTCATGACCAGGAATCAGAAAGAAAAAGCAACTTCCATTCTGACAACCCAAGCAGGGCATGTGTGCAGACCCAGTACACAATCAACATCAGGCCATCCAGAAACATCCGAGTAATGGTAGGAAAGGGAATGCAAACATGGTTGGTCAACTTTGGTCCAAAACCAGGCATTATCAGAAATCTTTTTTCATGTCTGCAGTCGGAGGCAGATCCCATACACTGATCCAACACCAGACCACCCAGGAATCAACCTTTTGGAGGTGATAGGATGAGGGATGCTGGCATGTTATGAGTATAATTAGAAGAGAGGTGACCTGCACTACACTGACAGTGTCGCCACCTCCCTATCAATTGCCATTATTTGTTCATCCCCCAGTTATCAGGTCCCAAACTGAGAGGGTTCTCCATGGTCCACTACCCCAACAGCTAGGAACTGGTAAGTGGTAAGGGTCTTCCTTGCTCCACTTGAAAAAAAAGAGGAGAGGTATTTGCAGTGGGGAGAGAAAGAGAAAATGCCCAAATCCCAATTGGATGCCTGCCGGAAAGATCTTTTACTGGAGACAGTGCAACATGTGACCTTTTAAACATATTTTGAAAAACCAGCAAGCAGGCAGAGCCCTCCCTGGTGCTAGCTTTTTCCATGATAGTCCATGGAATAGGTGTGGTCTGGATCAGACAGTAGACAGATATCAGAATATACCCTGAGGATACCTCAAGTAATCTTGTGGAACACCCCATCTCAACAGTGGGCATATATGGAGCCAAGGCAGATGGTATGAATGCTTTCTGTTATCCTAGCTCGATGCAGAATTTGAGGCATAAGTGTACCCTGGGAGGTACCACTATCCACCTGACAGGAACCTGGAAGCAAATTCTATAAGCCACAGGGGAATGTACTCACCCATCTAAGGACAGTGGGTATATTTTAGGATGGCTAATGGAGGCAGGCAGTAGCCCCTGGAGACAAAACAACCAGACAATGAAGAGAGTGGGCAAGGTAGTTCACATGCTAGGCATGAATGAACTTGTCCAGTGGTAGTAAGTAACAAACAGCAAGAGAATGAGAAAGGTGACAAATCTGATGGACAAAATTTAGAATCTGCAAGCAACCACTTCTAAAGAGAAGAAGACCAAACAAAGAATGTGACAGACTTTACCATTAAATGCAGATGAAGATTTGTCCCTGGAGGAAGATGAATCCCAGTGAATGAAGAGTGGAAGACAGAAACCCCGAAAGTGAAATGTACAAGATAAATAGCAAAGAATGACTCGAACAGGGCAGAAAGTCTATCTGAGTCCTAATGAGCATAGAAGAGTGAAATAAAAGGATGGGAGGGAGGAAAAGGGTACAGATCTCATCCCCAAGTGGCTGAATACTGAGGGAGAAAGTACCGGACAGGATAAAGAAAAATAAGAGGACAATGGGAAGGTATGGGATAAGTTGCTAGCATAAAGAGGAGAACTGCAACCACAAGTGAGAAGAAACAAGAATATGTCTGAAGAAAAGATGGTAGAAGTTGCTTGAATGGGCACAGGTAAGAGCATGCAGGATAACACTGAGGTCCCAGTCAGACACGGGAACAGGGAAAGTGTGTGTATGGATAAAGAAGTATCTAGAAAAGATGAAGAGAAGGTGGAAGGAAACAGCTTACAGTATTGAGCATGTAATTTAGTGAAGACAAAGCCGCCCAATAATCAGCAAAGGTGGAAACAGCTGAATCCTGTAGAACAGCCAGGTAAAGGGAAGAGAGAGATGTCCAACAGTAGAACAATTAGGAGTAAAGTGGTGACAGATGGACCAACATCAAAAGCCATCCCCTCACACGGGTAAAAGGACAAGATAAAATGATGCCTAGAAAGGATTAGAAGATTGTAAAGTCTGGTTCCATGGACAAAGGACTGGACTAAACAAACATGAAGGTGGAAGGACAAGATCCATTAAGAAACAAAATGGCAGAGTTAAAATAATAGAGTGTATAATCAGTATGGGAAGAAGGAGTTGAGTTGACAGATGGCAGAAACTAAGGTTAAGCCAGCCAGAAAGGATTAGAAGATTGTACAGTCTGGTTCCATGGACAAAGGACTGGACTAAACAAACATGAAGGTGGAAGGACAAGATCCATTAAGAAACAAAATTGCAGAGTTAAAATAATAGAGTGTATAATCAGTATGGGAAGAGGGAGTTGAGTTGACAGATGGCAGAAACTAAGGTTAAGCCAGCCAGAGGGTACCGCCAAAAGGAACTGACAAGGAGTGTCTCTAGTCAAAGCCAGGACCCAAGGTAAAGACCAGAAAGGTGGATGAGCATTATGACAAGTAAAAGATCAGACCAGGCAGAAGACAGCAACAGCCAGGGCTAAGGGATGGAGAACAGATGATCCAAAGAGAGAAATCATGAAAGTGAGAGGGTTGGCCAGGCAACAATTAGTAAAGTTCTCAAGAAAGAACCACCAATGGAAACAGAGGCAGGAGATACATACTGTGAACAGAAAATGTTCCTGTCAGGAGAGGCAGTCTGCACCTGGTTATAGTACCCAGTATATGGCAAATGAGGAAACCAACTCATTAAGAATTGGCCCAAGAAGAAAATTTCAGAGTTCGCAAGCAAGAGATTCTGGATCAGATTATCCTATGGTGGTTAATTTAGAAAAAACCAAAATATTGGTGGAATGGAGTAGTAATAATAGTATCATTCCCAACAGTGTACTGGAACTTCAAGCACATGGATAAGGAGAGAAGACTTGTCGTGGAAGAGAAAAGCATAAGTAGACAGTTGTTGGTCCAGATTGGGAAGAGGTAATTGAACACCAATGCTGTCAGGAGATCAGTCCAACCATCCATACAAATAATAGAATGGAGGTAGGGACAAGAGAACCATTGAGGTTAAAGAATCTCATGATGGATCAATTGAGGAGGTGTATATGCATGTGACCGAAAGGGATAAGCAGTCCCCATGATGTCATGGTCACCAAACAAAACCTCACACTCAGAATGAGTAGGATAGGCAAAAATTCTAATGCAGAAAGGTCCAATGCTCACAAGCAGATGGGAGAGGGCTTGTCCCAGCTGAGAATGAGTTGAACAATACCCCCTCAGTAAATAAAATACTGACTGAGAGTGAGTAAGTGGTGACAAATACAGCCACAAAGAGACATTGGACACAGATGGGAGTGGAAGGAGAAAATTAAGAAAGAAGAAGGGTATGGAAGTGGAAAGAAAGTCCATGGGTAAAGAGTAGAAAAACCCATGTGGAAGAAAATGAGTGACCACAGGAGCTCAAACTGTGACAGCTGGGCACCCACAGAACCTGATATGATGGAAACATCACCAATGAGCTCAATGGGACTGATGTTAGGCAGAAGAGGAAGTTGGAAAACAAAAAGACAGGACTAAGGACAAAGAAGAAATACAATAATTGAAGGTAGGGTTGAGGACAATGTGGAAACAACATATGAAATCAAAGATTTATTATGGGCAACATCAGCCTGTGAGTCAATCAAATCAGGAATACGCCAGGGCAAAAAAAAGGGCTCAAAGAACAGAAAGAACTTGGGATAGAAGAGTACCCCTAAGCAACAATCTCCAAGAAAGAAGGGGAATGACCACAGTGTAGAAATGAAGGGAACAAGAATCACTCGCAAAATGCTCTGGGGCACAGTGGAGTGCCTAAGAGTACCTAGAGAGGGGAGGTAAATAAATGTGGTAAAAATGATTAGGGAAAGGCAAGAGTATTGGGTAGTGGAGGGTGAAACTGATGCCAAAAGTTCACCCCCCACCCAAAAAAAAAAGGACAAGGGCAATCTCAAACATGAGAATCTTGAAAAGAGATACAGAATGATTAAAATAGGGGAAGTAAGAACCAGATAAATGGAGAGGCTTGATGTCATGGAAACAGAAATGGTCCAGGAATGGTAAATGATTTGAGTTAAGGTTAGAATTAAGAAGTCGGGAACACCTGACGAAGGGACTGGAGCTGAAGCACCTGACAGCATAAGGGAATCCACTATCCTATCCACATCATCCCTAGGGAACACGCCTCCATAAGCCATCATTATTACACAACTTGTCACTTACACAAGTAGTAGAAGACAGTACATGAACTAGTGTTCATAGTGTGAAGAAAAAAAAATTAAGTTCCCCCAACATTGCAAATCTCATTGCAAAAACATGTCTGATGCGTTCAGTGCTGAGGAATTGAATGAAGCTCATGAGTGCAAAAGCATAGAGGGAGCTATTTTGCAAGGAGGTTGTGTCACTCTCCTATTGGTGGAGGGCTTTCACAGCATAATAACATCATTAGCACAAATCACAAGAAATCTTGTGAGTTTAGGTGGGAGTTGCCTAAAGGCTAGTGGAATGCAAATCTTTAAGGCAAAAGCATGAGAAAGATAGCTGTCTGTTTGCAGTGGTGTGTATCATTGCTTTGGAAATTTAAAGTCAACAAAAATTCTACAAACCAAGAGAGTAGCTTAAACCAGTGAGGGGCAAAGGAGTCACCCCCATTTCAAAACAAAATTTGGGGCCCAATTTCCTATTTTATGAAAGCTAAGTATTTTAAACAAACATATACACAAATTTGTGCAATTTAATGTTTAGAGTGCTTTCAAAGTGAAACAATCATGCAATCTTTCCTGAGACACATATAATTCTGTAAAGACCACAGAATCTTTCAGTGCACACTTCTGCAGTTGTGTCACAACTAATAGCCTGCTTGCAGATACACATTTACTGATTGTCAGTTAAACATTAATAATTGAGAAACATTTAATGAATTATGTCAATATACACTTCCTTCAATATTCATTGGAAATTCAAATGCTATATCAATCTTTCCTGTGATGCTCAATTATATCACAAATATTACTGCATACATAAAAAAAATTAAACAAACTCACAATAAATTCTCAAATGCCAGGCCATTTTTTTGTGGACACCATGGTGACTGAGATTTGGCAAGCCCTGTTTATATAAATATGATGTCCAGCAGTTTACATAAAGACTTGTAAAGTTTGTAAAGACTAAGCACATGCAATTTCTCACACTTAATTTGAATTTTTTTAATCTAATATTAACCACATCCAGTTTCTTATTTTGAAAAGTTTATAATAGTATTTACAATATTATTTCAAACTTAAAACAACTTTAAACACAATATAATTCATAAGGAAATGTAATAATATATAATATTTGCATTGAAATATTTAGATTAAACTAAGAAGAACAAAGTGTGGAAGAAAATTGTAAATAGTTTAAAATACCGTTCTGTGCCTCTTTCTTGGGTCACGTGGTACTGAAGATATGTAAGATGCTTCTTTAACTTTTCTTTTGTGCACTCATTTTTTGATGAATCAGGATGGCTAAAGCCATCTCTGCTACCATTCTGCATGATGTTACGTAACAAAATGTAGTTCAAAGCATCATCATACTTTTTTTCTATATCAAAAGTGCTAGTCAATGGTTCATTCTTACTTGTAAATCTAAAAGATAACACAAATACACATAATTTTATTAAAGTTGTTTCATGATTAAAGTTCCTTATCTTTATACTAAAATTACAATTAAAATGTTGAATGCTATCCATTATAGATACAACTTTCACTCACAGAAGTAGAGAATCTGAAACAACAAGCTAAATATGAGTAACACAGTTACAACTTACAAATCATGACAAAAGATCAAAAACATTTATCAATTATTTTTATATTCTATTCAAGTACACAAAATGTGATACTGATAATAAAATAGATTCATAAAATTACTGAAGGCTAGATAAGATAGTATTCATAGTTTTTTCTCTAATAATAATAAACAAATGTTATGAAAATACAAGGTAAAGAATAATTTGAGTATTATTCACACTTTATGTAAATAGTTTTGATGTGACTATACAACAAGTTTATGTACTTGAAAGGCCTTATATAATGCTGTGCAGTAAATAAAAGATCACAATACTGAATATGACTGATGCAAAGCAAATGCATCAAACTGTACTTCCTAAGGAAAGTACTTCTACATGTAGAAGGTCCACATAAAGGAGAAATGATCTAAAAAGAAAAGACTAATTTTCTTTGACTGTTTGTAACACTTAAAACAAAAACACCTATAAAAAGATTCTTACAAATATGGCTATTTGAATTATCAAGAGAGTTGAACTACCTAAGAAAACAATGTTGTATGCACTAGCTTCTAGTTCCACTTAATAATTTTATTACACGAGGCACAGTTTTAGTTTTCTGACTTTAAAATTTTGAATATCAGTTTAAATGTATGAACACAGAAAAAAAGGAATGTTACTAAAGGTCAGTTAGCACAAAGTCATCCCTTAATATTCTGTACAGTTAATATAATTACCAGCCTAAAACTAAAAATTAAAGTTTCTGGTAACTCTATTAACCCTATTTTTCCCTACCACTAAAGCAGAGTAAGGGTTTTCTGTTAAACCATATTTGGTTGGTTAAGTTTTGAAATGCCAAAACCAAAAACTTCTGCTGAATCACAAGGCCAAAAACATTATTAGAGTACGAAGTTCATGTGCAGACCTCTGCTATATGCTGAACTTACACTGATGGCTGACCTAACTGTTTGAAAACCTGCCATCCAACTCAAATTTATCACTAAATACATATCATTCTTTGCCTTTTCAAGTAATTCAGTGCAGTAATGTACACTTTTGAAATGTTGAATCCAACTCAGTTTGTTCATTAGATACATATTATTCATTGCTTTTCCAAGTAATTCCTTGCAGTAATATACGCTTTTCACATTGTTGAATTCAATACTATATTTACTTATTACGATATACACTGTAATTACTATGTTTTTAATTTTACGCATTGATAGTTTTGATGAAAATTTTTATTTAACACGGCTCTATTGTCTCCCACCCATGCAAGGCAGAGGACCAAACACAGTTACCCCCACATCAGCCCAAGTGCTGAGGCTCAGACACCCACTATTGGGCTCACCAGACACGGGTTCTCAGGTATCTGAATGATAAAATACTTGTGTTCTTACTCTGCACTACTGCATGCAGTACAGTCACCACTGCGAGAACAAACACATATTTCCCAGTGCTATATGGACCCCTAAGAGGCAGTCTGGCAGTCTTGATAATGAAACGGCCTTCATCTCCATCCAGGATGGTGTCGAACCCAGCTGCTAATTGTATATAGATCAATGAAGCACTCTAGCAAAAGCCAGAACAGATGGTTTTAATAAAATAACCATGAAAGCCCATCAGTCCAGTCACCAAAGGCTAACTTCAAATAAAAAGCCAATGATGCAAGAAAAGCTTTTATAAAGCAAGCCCAATTATACTAATTCTCTAATTTCTTTACAATCAATAAAATAAAAATTATGCTTTCTCTACATACAGCGCAGCTGAGGCCTTTAACAGGTAGGTCCTGATGCTAGTTTGGGCTTAACTGATGCAACATAATTCACCGCCTTCCACATCAAAGGGCCACCTTTACCCTCAAATCACTGATAATAAAATGGCCTCCATCTCTGAAGGCACAGTGAGCCACCCAGACCCACAGTAAAACAAGCTGGATTTTTACAGTTTGTGTAGTGTGTGCCCGGAAACAGCTATTAATATCTTGCCGCTGTGACCTCTTCCACTAATACACACAAAACCCACCATCCTGGGTGCTGTTGAACTCAGCCTGGCTGGTGGGAGAGCTTTCTCTCTAGAGGAATGCCAAATGATATGCCAAAGTTACTGGTAACTCTTTCTTTCTTTGCCCTTACAATATAATTATTCACTGACCAACCAAAATGATCACATTACCGTCCCAAAGACTCTTAAGAGAGTCACAGTTACTTCCGCCATTTACCTGCACTTGGTTTAATTTCTTCACTTTGACATTCATAGCACTGGGGAGACACCACATTGTGTAAGGACTATTACATACCCACTACACCTCTGGCCAGAGGAGAGGAGAAACAGCCGCTTTCCACTGCCTCCCAGTTCGCGGGAAGCCATTATTCTCTAGACAGTTCAAGACACTACCTTAATTCATTTTCAGTCTTGAAATATGCAAATAGGTGCTTTTAAAAATAACTGCAATATGTCCTAGGAGTATGCTAAAATAAATTTAATCACATATTTCTCTTTCTCCAGGCTCCAGGTCATGAGATGGTAGCCATGCTTAGTTTCTGGGTTTGAAAATATCTAAAACTGAGCAAATATAACTCATACTTCAAATTCATTATGCTACACTATGATATTATTAGTTTTGGGTTTGAATTGATCAATATGGAGAATGTGACAAACAGTACATCTGTATGTGAAAATAAACTTGTATGCATCAGGAAAGCAACTGGTGTTAAATTTTAACACACGCAATTAGTTTTTGTGATTATTTTAACAAGCATGAGTAGCCAAAACACAGCTAATATATTACTGTAGTACCACTATTAAATGAAAAAAAAGTTGGATAGGACAGAGATGACAAGAGATGATATTTTCAATTTACAAAACATTAAGTTTATCAGATATTAAAGACTCTTTAGTGTAGGTAGTATTATTAATTTATTTATTTTGTGTGTGTAATTCATTGATGTCGAGGCTATCAAAAATGTTGTGTTTCCAATCCACTGATGTTGACGCTATGGAGACTTCTAGAAGGCCTAAGTGATAGATGTATAACTGAAGGTGACTAGACGAGTGGAAAGAGAGAATAAAAGTAAAGTCACAGGAAAGAGAAGTTCGGTGAGAGAAAAGTTATAAAACGCATCGTTAACCATTGTAGGAGTGAAAGGCCTAACGGTTGATATGTTAGAGTGAGATTAATAGTTTGAAAGAGAAAAGAAGAATAATATGTCTTGTCAAAGGGTGTTCTAAGCTAATGGAACCTGCCTGTGCAGATGATTACTGAAAGTACAGGATACAACTGTGGTAACTCACGTGACAACGTAAGTGAATGGTATACAAATACTATTGCAATATATATATATAATAGAAAAATAGTTCAGCTTGTCAACTGAATTCTAAAGCAATTGGATTGGCCTAGGTAGACTTTTGACAAGAAGAAGAGAACAGTATAGTTTTAATATACGATTACGATCTCCATAGTGTAAAGGATTTTGTATATACGTTCAACTTGTTTCTAATATACATATTATTTTAATAACAAGTGGGGTGCATAGTGTTTGTTTATTGTTGATTTTTCACCAACAAGTCACAGACACCTACTGTAGAAGAATCCTTAGCCCAACACACCCATATACTTACTTTAATATATGCTACAATAAAAAGTTAGTTCCTGACACTTGGCAAGCCACAGCCAGGATTATACAGTGGCAAATGGCTGTAGAAGAAAACATGAACAACAGCAGAAATAAGTAGGCCTATGTAAGCTCAACTGTAGTTGTAGTGCAAAGAGTGTGGAGATTACAATTATGCTATATAATCATGTCAGGTGATTTTGATAAATGGGTAGAAAGAGGAAAGCATTTTGGGTTAAAAGAGAGTGAACAACAACAAGAACTAGAGAGAGAAGAGCATAGACAGAGAAGAGAGGAAGAAAGGCTTAAAGAAAAAAAAGAAACAGAAAGACTGAAAGAAGAAAATGAGAGAATAAGAGCATAAATTGAGAATACAAAACTCACCCAACTGAAGCAAGAAGGACCCAAGAATGACAATGGGGTCAGGGCCAGTTGACCCAAGTTGGGACAAGGGTGACTGGGCAGTCTGTTTCAGCCCACTTCTCACAGGAAAAGGCCTACAAGTACAGTACTGTGCAAAAGTGTTAGAAGAGAATATTTTGTCATTCTTTCCATTTTATGGGGCTATTTCTTCTATGCCATTAAAGAATGTAAATTTCAACCTTATGGTAATGCTTCATTGATCCCTGTTGACAAATAAATGAGCCAAGATGAGAATACTTATCATTCTTTAGAATTCTCATATACTTGTACCAAGGGCATGTCATAATGGTTCTGCTTGAATGAACATACTG